GAGCCGTTGGCCTCGGTGTTGCCGTTGAGATTGTTGGCGCCATGGCCTGCGGTGGAGGCCTTGGCGAGGTCGGGCTGGATGGCGTAACGGAGGAGCGAGTCCCAGGCCTTCTTGGTTGCGCTGTTGGCGAGGACGGCGCGCGAGTGCTTGTGTTCGACGTCGTCGTTCCACTTGTCCGAGTCGAGGTCGAAGCGGTCGGCCTGGGACTGGCGGCTAGGGTCGATGCGGTCGAGGTCGAGACCGAGCTTCTGGAAGTCGGAGAAGTCCTTGATGGGCGGACGGGCGCCCATGGCGAGAGCCTGAGTGAGTGCGATCTCGAGCACGTCGATGGCTGCGAGCAGGAGGTAGTGGCCCGACAGCGGCGCGCCAGCGGATCGGTAGCGCGCAAGCAAGGAGAGACGGTAGTCCTGTGCATCCTGCGCGGCGGGGGAGGTGGTGTCGAAAGTGAAGCCGCCATCGGGACCGATGACATCGGCGTCTTCGTCCTCGTCGCCGGAGAAGAAGGTGTCTACGCTGGCCTCGGACTGGTCGTCGGTAGGGCGGACGGTGGCGAGCTTGGGAGCGCGGCGAGTGGCGCGGCCTGCCTGCTGGCGGATGTCTGCCTGGTCGTCGAGGAGCAGCAGAGCATCGTTGAGCCTGCGCACAGACTGGGTGGAGGTGATGAGCGGGGTGAGCACGTGCGCCAGACGGGCAAACTCGTTGAGGGTCCAACCGAAGGAGGTGGTGGCGATGGCGCGGTAGAGACCGTTGAAGAGCGGGGCGAGCTTGACGACGACGGAGTGGGCGTCGCCTGCGGTGGCGCCGAGCGCATCTGCGAGCTTGTTGGCGAGGTCGAAGATGGCGTCGAGGCAGCGGGGGCGGTGGTGGGGCGCGTTGATGGAGATGGTGAGGAAGCTGGATACGAGCGCGTAGGCGAGCTGGTCCGGGAGCGGATGGGTGGCCCAGCTCATGTCGTGATCGAACTCGAGCACGGTGAGCTGGCGAAGGAGGCGCTCGATGTCGTCGAGGACGGGGACGAGGTGCTCATCGTTCTTGATGTCGGTGGTGTGTTGGGTGGAGCGCGAGGCCGACGAGATGGAGGATGCGAAGAGCGCGAGGCTGATCTGGGTCCGGGCGGCTGCGGCGGAGAGGAAAGGGTTGGAGTTGGTGGTGACCTTGCTGGTGGTGGCCGAGTTGGCAAAGAGGGAGCGCACGTGGGAGCGGGCCGAGGGGATGTTGGCGATGTCTTGGGCGAGGTTGAGCGCGAGGCTGTCGAGGATGAGCTGGTGGGTGGGCAGGTCGAGCGCGTCCATGGTGGGGACTCTCGACGGTGTTTGAAGGTAATTGCGGTGTTGGCACGGGTGTTGAATGTGAGCGATACGAGCGTGGTCGTCGTCGTTGTCGTTGGTGAGAAGGAAGGAGGAGCGTGTGCGAGTGAGTGCGAGTTAGTGCTCTCTCTCTCTCTCTCTCTCTGCAGGCACACATGCGGGTGCGGGGGAGGGACGTGCGTGAGAGTGACGTTTTCCCCCCTCTGCGCCGCGTGAAAGCGGCTCGATCGAGGCAAAGTGCGCGAAGAAATTCGGCTCAAAGTCCTCATTTTGTCCCCGCTTTTTTGGTGCGTGAAATGGCGCCAAACCGCTGCAAACATACACACTCTCGCTTTCTTCTCCACCTGCGACGCTCCACGACGGGGGCATCGTCTTGTCACCGAGCAAGCAAAGCTAGATACAAAGAAAGCACCATGAGGATACACTCAGCACTTGCACGCCGAGCCGTCTTCCATGGTGGTCTGTGCTGGTGCCGCGGTCACGTCAATGTCTAGCCACACACACGCCCCACCAACTCACAATGTCAGCATACTGTCTTCTCCATCTTTATCAGGGCAGGACTTACTCTTGTTGGCGGTGGCACCGGCGTTGGCAGCATCTGCGTCCTTGTCCATCCCCGGTAGCGCCTGTGCGATCTTCTTGAAGAGCACCTTGACGTTGTGCCCTGCCTTGGCCGACGTCTCGATGAACATCACGTTGAACTCTTGCGCCTTTTGCTCCGCCTCTTCCGTCGTCACTTGTCTGTCATTGCCAATTTCCCACCGAATGTTAGTGTCGAGGGGCAATGGAATCCTCTATCCAGGGATTTTGGGCGTGTGCACCTACCTCTTGTCGCTCAGATCCGTCTTGTTGCCCACGAGCACGATGATCACGTCGTTGCCGCGCTCCGCACGCACGTCGTCCACCCATTTCGATGTGTTCTGGAACGAGGCCCGGTCTGTTTTCCCATCGCGTCAGTTCCACGCCTCTTCTTTGTCGTTGCGCCTGGGGCCTTGGCCACTTACTCGTAATGTCGTACACCACCACCGCCACCGACGAGTCGCGAATGTACGACGGGATCAACGATCGGAATCGTTCCTGCATGGTCAAAGCGATCAAACCGACATCAGCCTCCTTATCATACCCTCAAAGCAAGTGAGGAGTGGGCACTTACTTGTCCTGCGGTATCCCAGAGCTGCAGCCTGACTGTCCTGTCTTCGAGGTACATGGTCTTGGAGAGAAAGTCGATCCCGATGGTTGCCTGGTACGTGTTGTCGAATGTGTCGTACATGAACCGCGTGATCAACGACGTCTTTCCCACCGACTGCTCTCCCAAGAACACCAGCTGCGACCATGTTCCCCCAAACATGCCAATTCGCGGTCAGCCTTTCAACCCTTTCCTTTTGGGCCCAGATGGGCACCTGGCTCGTACGTACCTTGAACTTGCGCAGTGGCTGGCCAAACTCGGCCGTGCTTGCGCCTGGTGCATTCGACATGGCGATCCCTGAGCGGCGAGACGCTATCGAACAATGCCGTGTGCCGGGTGGTGAGGCTCGTTGGAATCCAAGAAGCGGTAGCTGATCGCGGTGGGCGGATCGAAAGTGCGTGCTGCGTGGATGGGCGCTGCCTTGAGCGGTCGGTGATGTGTGTATGCGCAAGCTGCGGTGCAGGTGAGATGGATGGGCGGGTGTGTGGTGTTGGTGTGGTGTTGGATAGCAGTGCAGCTGGCTGGGCTCGCGTGCATTTGTGCGTGGCTTTTGTGCCGTGCTGTGCCTGGCTCGAGTGCCTGGCTCGAGTGCCACATGTGCCGCCTTCGCCTCGTCTCGGTGTCGGCTGCCGTGCAGTGCCTCTCGCGCGAGTCTCATCAAATTCAGACCCCGAATGCGGCGTCCCTTCTGACCCTGAGGTCTAACACTCTGAATTCATTTCGACCCCATCCATAGCGACAACCTTCAACCTCTTCTCTCGACACACATCCACTTAGAACAAAGCATTAAAAACCGGTGACATTGATCGTACGCCATCTATGTATGTACGAGATCTCTATCTCATGGGAAGATGCATTTGGAATGCTTTTTGGCTGGCTGGGCGTGCCTAGCTACGCGTGGTGAGCTCGAGCTCAAAGGCCGCCTTTTCCAGATCGCAGCTGACGTTGCGCGACGTCTTGCGGCTCGACTCGACCGAGGCCGTGGTGCTGCTCTGCCTGCTCTGCTGCTTCCTTGCTGCGTTGCTGGATACGAGCACTGGGGTGAAGTGAAGGTCGTCCTCTTGTTGGCTCTTTTGGCTGTACCTCTGCTCCAGCGAGTCGCCCATCTTCCACACCACCCACGCGCCCCACACCTGGGTCACCGCCAGCCCGACGGTGCAGATCCAATACAACGCATCCCAGGCCGTGTACAGCTGTCCATCTGCCTTGCGCTGAAACTTGATCCACATCCAGATCGTTCCGGCAATCGAGGCGAACTTGAACACGATGCTCTGCACGGCTGCGATCCTAAACACCGTACGCAGCATCCTCGCCGGGGCCTTGAGTCTGTACATGAACAGCGCCACAAACGTCGTCTGCTCTGTTGTTGCTTGGAAGATCCACAGGAGGCCTGTGATGACGTACGATGGATCCTGCAGCCGTTCGCACATGACCAACGCCAGGCTCATGGCGAAACACGTGATGAGGTGGTGCGCGATCATCGGATACGTCATGCGATACCGGTATATCAGTTCGAACAGGTACAGTGCTGCGATGAGGCATGCACATGCACGCACCACGTTCACCTTCCACAGCGCGAACCGCAGGCTGATCAACGAGCACACGGACAACTGCATCGCCACCACCACCGTCGTGATCACCAGCTGCAGCACGTACACCACCAGCGTTCGGCGGTGCTCCGCCTTGATATCCCGCCACTTTCGTCCAACCATACGTGGCAGAAGCAAGCCGTGAAGCAGATTGGCCACAAAGTAGAGGATGAAGAGTAGCGTGACGAATGCAATCGGAAACACGTAGGGCGTCTCGACGTCCATCCGTTGGTCGGCCATCTTGACCACCTCGCCCAGCGACGCGGGCGACAGATGCGAGAGGATCGGAGCGTAAGACATTATTGCAAACGGCGGCAATGGCACAATCGAGAGAAGGAGGTGAGGGAACGGTGTGTAGCAAGATCCGGTAGCCACAACCTCGTCCCGCTTATATACCTTCTCATCCCACCTACACGCATCATGGGGCTACTTGTGAGCTCCTGCGTACAAGAGCACGATTCATGCTGCAACACTGTATCGTCACAATGATCATCGCATTGCACCACTGTATGCCATGAAAAGGATAAAACTCCTCGGCCGCTTCGGGGATGGGCCCAAACTGACAAGGCCCGGCGCCTCGGGCAAAAAAAGAATAAATCCGATAAAAGAAAATAAAAACGTGTGCCGCTCCCCGCTCGACGCCGTGTGGTATCGACTTTTTCCGGCCGCTCCTTAATCTCTATGCCGGCACATGTGTACCTCGTGCTGGAGATTTCATGCTGGTCCAACCAGCAGGCGACGCCGTTCCTGGCGATGACCGTGTCAACAACCACTCTCACACTCCCACCCTTCCGCTACGAACCTCGCCTGTCTGTATCATGTGTGGTTCGAATTGCGAGCTGAGGTGGAACTCCGCTCCCTGCAACCCTCGGGATGCAGAGGGGGCTTGGCCATTGCTGTCACAGCGTCATCTTGGAGCTCGAGCGCTACAGAGCATGTGATAATGATCCTGCCAAACGTCGATGACCCACCTCGGCACCGCTGTACGTGGCATTGAGTCGGGACATCTTGCTGCGGAAGGAGTCATTTTTCCGAAGCCTCGATAGCAAACTTCTCGGGTTGGAGGCGGAAAGCATGCATGGGACCTTCGCAGGCTTTGCTATCACCACATACCCTGGGAAGGGGGGGGGGGGGGAAAAAGGGGGGA